CACGAAGTTATACTCAAATAATTCAAGGAAAGAGGCACTATGGTGACTACTATTATGTTAGATTATCTGGGGGTGAAACACAATGATGCTCAAATTGTTCGGTTCTGACCTGTGTCGTTCTGTTACAATGTCCTCTTTTATCTCAATCTCCACCCTTTTTTTAAATTAATCTATTTTTTCTCATTTTTTTCAATTAAGGGAAAACTAAATTAAAAAATAGCAAGATATATTATAGCAACTTTTTGTTTTCCTATTAACCTGATTTGAACCTCAGTATTGCTCTCCCCATCTCGTTCTGTCTGATTCTACTATATTCTATTTTGTTTGATAGTATCAAGTTTGAGGGTATAGGCAACCACTTTGAAGGCAATAAAATTTACTATGATGCCCATTATGGTTTGACTATTATCTTCTTTTGAAGTCCTGTAAGGTCTCCAGTGTAGGTTTTATTGGTCTTGTACTGTACGATTTGGATCAATTCTATTATACCTGATGATATAGGCAACTCTTTAAAAATAGCAAGAGGCACAATGGTAACCACTTTTGGTCACCTGATATTCTATTTTTGCATCATGTACTATGCCCATCCTTCTGTTCTAAATGACTCTGTTGTGTTTAGTCACATTAGGTTTTATTCTCTTCAAAAAAAGTAATAAGAACTGTGGGAGTAAAAAAACCCAAAAAGTGTAATTGTTATTGTAAAAAAGAGAGGAAAGGAAGGTGGTCTAAGGGATATAACTGCAGGTATGTTTGAGTGTGTAGGATGGAAAACCATATTACTGAGCTTTTGTTGGATCATTGAACGGAACTGTCTGCAATCTCACTGTATGAATGTCCACTTTATATGCTTTAATTTTATAATTTATACAACTGTTTCTAAGATGACAATGTGTAACCTATTAACTAGTGATTTCTTACTGTGTATTTTTTCCTGAAATTCTGTATTATTTGTACCCTGTTACTGCTTTGTTTTTTTATTTCCTTTCTTTTTTCTCTTTAAATAAATAAAAGAAAGTGGCTATACTTCCAAAACTGTTATACAGATTCAATACAATCCCAATCAAACTTCCAATATCATATCTTACACAATTAGAGAAAACAATCCTAAAATCTATCTGGAAATCATACGAGACCTAGAGTAGCAAAAGCAATCCTGGGCAACAAAAATAAGACAAGGGACATCACAAGCCCTGACTTGAAATTACACTATAAAGCTACTGTGATAAAACAGACCTGATCATCACTGAAATAGATTAGAAGATGCTGAACAACTGCAGACACACTCAGCTACCTGATCTTTGACAAAGATGCCAATCACATTCACTGGAAGAAAGACAGCCGTTTTAATAAATGGTGTTGGAAAAAATGGGTTTCCACATGTTGAAGATTAAAACTGGACCCGTATCTTTCACCATGTACTAAGTTAAAATCAGATTGGATTAAAGATCTTAATATTAAAACAGAAACATTAAATCTACTGGAAGACAGAATAGGTAAAACTCTTGAAGACATTGATGTAGGCAAAGACTTCATGAATAAAACCTAGATTGCACAGGATTTATTGCAAAGGATCAACAAATGGGATCTCAATCCTACTGAAAAGCTTTTATACAACAAGAGAAATCACTAACAGAATGAAGAGACAACCCACAATGTGGGAGAAGATGTGTGCCAGTTGTTCCTCAGATAAAAGATTACTATCGAGAACATATAAAAAACTAAAAAAAATAAAAAATAAAAAATCAGCCCTCCCAGATTTAAAGACTCAGTCCAAAAATGGGCATCTGAGATGAACACACACTTCTCAGATAAAGAAGTACAAACAGCAAATAAATACGTAAAAATTCAACAGCACTGGTCATTTGAGAGATACAAATTAAAATAACACTGAGATTCCACCTTACCCCAGAAAGAATGGCTAGTATTAAGAAATCAACCAACAACAAGTGCTGGAGGGGCTGTGAAGGGAAAAGAATCCTTCTCCACTGTCTGTGGGAGTGTAGACTGGTACAATAACTGTGGGAAATCAGTGTGGAGGTTCCTCAAAAAACTAGGATTGGAGGTCCCATTCAATCCAGCTATTCTCCTTCTGGGTATCTTCCCAAAAGAATTAAAAACATTATACCACAGCAATACATGCATACCCATGTTTATAGCAGCACAGTTTATAATAGACAGATCTTGGAAACAACCTAAATGCCCATCAACTGAGAAGTGGATAAAAAAGATGTGGTATTTCTATACAATGGAATACTACTCAGCTATAAAGAATGATCAACTGGACACTTTTATAGGTAAATGGATGTGCCTCAAGAACATATTTATTGGTGAAATAAATAAGACATGCATGTATAAACATTGCATTATTTCATTGTGACAAGTTGAAAGAAATGCCATGTTTATATTTATGTATATACATATATAAAATAGTTAAGGTAATTTTTTTTAAAAAGAGGCATAATGGCCTCCTTTGTCTTCCACGTGGCCTGTTCAGAAGCAAGTTCAATGCCTCCCTTCACCAAACACTTCTGTAGGTTCTGCCTTCTAACCTTGTCCCAGTCTTTTTGTCCCAGAGAGAATGACCTCAGCCAAAGCAACAGCTCAGATCACACCCGCCTTTACCTGTGAGCCATTCTGAGTTGACTTTTGGATGTCTCAAGAAATTTTTGAGGTGCTATAAGGTTCTGGTTTTTTGCATGCAGATATCCAGTAGTTGTTCTAGGATATTTACTGACAGTACAGTTCTTTCTCCACTTAATTGCTTTTGCATCTTTGCCAGAAATCAATTGTTATGTGAGTATTTGGGGACTTCAGACTGGTACTTAGATGATTTGTCTATCTTGATATCAATTCCGTTTTGTCATAATTGGTATAACTTTGTGATAAGTCATGGGATAGAGGAGGGTTGGAGCTCTAATTTTATTCCTTTACCAAAGTTTAGACTATTCTGAGTCTTTTGTATTTCTACAGAAATGTAAGACTCAAACTTAATTTTTATGAAAAATGATGTTGGCATTTTGATAACTGTGTTTTCTGATCTTTATTATTTGCTTCTATTTGTTTTTTGTTTTATTCTGTCTTTTACTTCTAATTTGATAAGGAAAGATATGAGGATATATCATAACTTTCTTCTTTTCTAATAAATGTACTCAGGGTTAAAAAAAGAGAGACAAGGGAGTGGAATCCAATGTACAGGGAAACATGGCAAGCAACAGTGTTTGTCAAGTAAATCTACTTCGTTAGCCAATTTTTTAAATAAAGGATTGCATATATGCAGCTCTGTTATTAGAAATCACTTTTGATAAAGAGGGCTAAAATCAAAGGAAATGAAACAAGGTATGTTACGGTGGGTTCAACTAGATTCTCATTTACCCTGGAAATGGACTCATTTTGGAAAAAAGATGGGAGCTCCTCCACTCAATAATGGTCCAGAAATACATTTGAGCAAACTGAGGAAGAAGACCACGTGGAAGACAGATTGTAACAGAAAATCTCCTCCGCTCAGTCTCTTATTTGTCCAGGTAACAGTTCCTGTTCCAGTTTCGATTGCTTCTGTCTGTTAGAAATGGCTGGTCACTGGGACGCACATTATATAAACTAATCCCTGATTGGTAAGCCTTTCTGCTTCTGCACTTCCTGCTTGCTTATTCTATATACACCCTAGATCACCAGAGATCACAGCCTGATATTTTGGGAATGATCCTGATCAGTGCCTTTGATGTAAGTAAATCTGCCTTAAAAAAATAACTAATACCGATTTTTTTAAATTGTTTCAAAGAATGGCAGAGTGAGGAATTCCTTCGAAATCATCCTCTAAAACCAGCATTACCCTAAGGCACGACAAACAGAATAATCTATAGGATAAAATCGCTAATGAGGAAAGAAACAGGGATTTTCAACAAAATACTAGCACACAAATCCATCAGCATTTTAAAACTGATTCACTGTAATCAAATGGGATTCAACCCAGGGACACAAGGATGGCTGAACATAGCACAAATCAATAAGCATATTACGTCACAGCAACAGAGTGAAAGACAAAAACATCATGGTCATCTCAATAGATAAAATACATCTGATAAAAGCCCTTGCAGACTGAACAAACTAGAAGAAATGTACATCAGCATAATAAATGGTATATATAATAAACCAGCATCCAACATCACACTGACTAGAAAAAGGTGAAAACTTCCTAAGATCTGCAAGGAGATAAGGATGTGCATTTTCATTGCTTTTATTCAAATGCTGGGAATTCTAGAGTCATCAGGCAAGAGAAGAAATGGAGAGCATAGAACCAGGATAGAGGAAGTCAAATTGTCACTACTTCCATAGAACATGATCTTATATGAAGAAAAGTCCCAAAGATTCTACTACGCAATTATTAGAATGAGTGAGTTCAGCAGAGTGTCGATGTTGTAGTCAGGGGTTAGAAGAGAACGATTGCCATCAGGACATAGAATTTATAATATTATTTTATGATGGTCACCCAGAGTTAACACAAGAAAGTGCAGGAAATCTGTCCACTAAAGACCTAGAATATTCAGCCAAGGGGCTGGATCCCACAGCAATAACCTGCATAACCAGCTGAAGACCTAGAGACCATGACAGTACCTCCCACAATCCAGCTGGAGGTCTAGAGCCCACAATAATGACTCATGCCAGTCTGTTTTATGGATCAGGCCGGGAGGCCCAAAGGTCAGTGGTGGAAGCCAGAAAGTCTATGCCAGCGGGGTGAAGGAGCTGTGCTTACATTGAGGGTTCTATGCTAGAGCCAAGAAGTTACACTTATAATAAGGACCAGGGCTGCCCTGAAAAGCAACACAGCCCCTCAGGGGTCCTGAGCTCCTCTGATTGTGAGAACAGTTAAGTACATGCCAGAAAACCAGCGTGACAAGTTTCTCCTGGAGATTAAACAGCACACATCTTCCCCTCCAGAGCCAGGAAGCAATTCTCGATATAAGGACCAGAGCTTCCCCAAAGTGAACCACAGCTTCTCTCACCAACAAGGTCCCCAGCTCCTCCGATGACAATGGTTGAACTCACACTGGGGAAGCTGGGCATGATGAACTCCTCCAGGAGAACCAATGGCTCAAACAGCAACACTTAGAGAAACCCACAATGCTTCATTCGTCTTCTCCACGTCTCTATTTATCCTGGGAACTTTCCTCAGGTGGCCCCCATCTACACTCAGCCCTATGCTGATTTAATTCAGTTGGTGTTAAGTTGACCACCAGTTTTTAATCCATAACAGGCAGGATACAAAATCAACATGCAAAAATCAGTAGCATAGCTGTATGCAGAGAGCAAAATAGAACACAAAAAAAAAACTTCATTTTTTTTTCTTTTTTTGGTAGCTAATGTAAAAGAATTCAGGGAATACATTTACCCAAAGAAATGGGTAAGATCTCTATTCTGGATCCAAGCTCTACATGACACCAATAAATACCTATAATATTTTTGTCTGTTGGTAAAAAATAATTCAAACAATGCACTTCAGGAATGGCTCGATGGGAAGCAAAGGAGCCGTGTGAAATGGTGCAAGACAGGACCCTTTGTGGGGGCTGGCACCCACACAGACGGAGGAATTCATAAAGAAACATAGCTCATTCCGCTCACAGCTTGGACGCCCAGAGCACAGTGCTCATGTCTGCATGTCATCTGGGGAGGGGCTCGCTGCCTTGTCACTGTGGAGGAGGGGTCTGATGGTGATGTGGAGCGAGACACCCCAGAGAGCAGCTTCCAAAGCAAAGCTCCCCCAGAGCACCCTTTATGCACTAACCCATCTGTCCAAGAGTGACTGATCTACTCCTGGGGACAATGCTCGCAGAACCTAATCACAGCCTTTGTTTTTTTGGTAGAAATTGAACTCAGGGCCGTTGCATGGAGCTACATCCCGGCCCTTTTTTAAATTTTGCCAAACTGTTAAGTTGCCAAGGCTGGACTTGAACTTGCAAACCTTCCTGCCTCCGCTTCCAGGGTGCCACGGTCACAGGAGCACAGGCTCACACCACCTGCCTGTTGTCTCATCACTTCTCAAAGGTCCCGCCTCCTAATATTTCAGTGTGGACTGACTCCTTACATAAATTTGAGCAGGGACATATGAACCACAGCCGGATGGTTTGGGGTGCGTGTCAGTCAAGACTCACTAGAGAAGTAGAATAAATGCTAAGGTCTACAGTGTGGGGCTTACAATGCAATTAAACCCAGACCCTGAGGTTTTAGTTTAGTAAACAAGTCATGCACCTGGCTCACGTGCCACCAAAGAGGGCACAGGTGCCATGGGTTTGCCATCACTGACCTAGTAGACACACAGACAAACTCAGGCTCCAGTCTCCTCTGCGAGGATGTATGGCCTGTGCACCTTCGGCCCGGGCCGATTCCCCACCCCAGCTGCCTCCCTGGGACCTTTGATCACACAACCACCAGCCACACGTGTGTGAATGCACACTGCCCTGCCACCCAGCCCACCCCGGCTAGAGGGGCAAACTCTGGACCTATCTCTGCATTGATTCTCCCCATGTGCAATGAGCCAGATAATCTCCACAGACCAATGGCCCAATTGTCCCCTGATCGAGCTCCTCCCGCACACACATCGGATATGCTCCTTTTCCATTGACATCTGTCTCTGCCTGTGGACGGAGCTCTCTTAACTTGCCGCGGGGGTGATGCACCCTTTGGTCACAGAGCGCAGCACTGTTTTCCCTCTGGCAGCCTTGTCCTCCATGGTGGGCCTTCTGATTCCTCCTGGTGGCGGCCGGTGACATGGAGAGGAACCTTAAGTGAGAATGCAGCCGGCCTCCCTGTGCCTGGCTCCTTCCCCTGGGCTCTTGCTCTGGAATCACAGCTCCCCAGACTCAGAGTCCTGCGGGGATGAAGGGACCTTCATCTGCCTGAATCGAAGCCAGCTCCCAGGGACAGCTTTGATTGACCCTTTAGTGGTTAAATTAAATGCTCTTTGTCAACCTCAGTCCGGCCTGATTTAAGAGATGGTTCAATGTGGCTCACGGGCCAGGCTTCCCTAACCGTCCCCATTAAATTCACAGGGTCCTGGACAGACTCTGGTCTGGGTGTTTATTCTTGCTCCGGCCTTCTCTTTGGCGGTTTTAGTGCCCATCTTTCTCTTGCAGAGAGCCTAATGGCCCCTGTCACTTCCCTTACTAATTACATCACGTGATGGGGTAGAGCTCAGTACCTACTGGTTCCATGGGAGCAGCCTGGGAGAAACAAAGCAGCCTCCTCCTGGACAGCTTGCATGGCCCTGGCCAGCACTTCTCCTCCCATGGGGTCTCTGTGGCCAGGTGACAGCCCAGAGGGCCCCCTGTGCAGAGTCCCAGGCCTGGCCACTGGCTGCTGTCCTAGATGTCATCTCCTTTGAGGCCTGGGCCAGGTTCTTGTCTCAGGGTGGCCCTGGCCCCTGGGCATCTGGTCCCACACCCCTGCCCTGTGTTCCTGGGACCACCCGTACAGCCCTGCCCAGAAGAGGGTGCTGTGCACGGTGTGCAAGTGAGGAGCCTGAGCAGAGTTTTGCAGCAAGAGGGGAGAGCACAAGGCACCCATTTTGCAGGTCTAGACCAGGGCAGAGTTGGGGTCCCTCAGCCACAGGCGTTCGGCAGCTTCCAGGCCACGGGAAAGGCAGCAGCTGTCTGCCTATGCGGTCTGAACCTTGGCCCATAGCTGGTTTCTCCAAATTCTTTTCAATCTGTAACTTATGGCCCAGGTCACAGCTGTGCTTCTGGGCTCACCAGTGTACGATGGACAGCAGGAGGAGGCTGGCAAAGACACTGGAGGGAAGGAAGCGGGAAGGGCACTGCCATCCGCTGCTGCAAGTGTCCTGGGAACAGAATAAAACAAATCATAAAATATTCTGAAAGGATGAGAGGGTCTCATTGAAGATCCTATTTGTGTTCTGCATCACCCTGAGCAGATTAGGACCCCAGGATTACACGTCTGAACTACTCAGTGTAGCTCCCGTCGCGCGTAGCTTCTGCTGGGTGTGGACACTCACTTAGCTTAGTGTCCTCCAGCGTCTGCAGCTGCAGTTGCCGGGTGGGGAGTCCCTAGGAAACACGAGTACATAGCGGACAGCAGGCTCTGCCCCAGTGTCATTGCAGAGGTGGCCGCAGGGATGGAGGACACTACCAGACCCTTCGCCGAGGGAGCTCCACATCTTTATCCCAACACCAAGCCTGCAAGATGAAGCCCAAGCAAGAGCCAGACGCGATCAGGTCAGTAGGCAGCAAGGGCCTGGTCAGGGGAGGGAGCAATGTCTTCTGATATCCGGAACCAGAGCTGGCTGGGAATAGACATGACAGCAACTCGCGTGCTTCACCCGGGATGAGCTGGGCCCCTGCCGTCCCTGCCGCAGAGACCCCATGGCTGTGTGAACACCTTGAAGACTAGAGATAGTTGGAGGTATGTCAGTTAGGTTGCTTTTGTCTCCGGACCACAGGAAGCAGACCTTGAGTTGTCTTCTGCAGTGAGGAAATGAATGGTACCCCCAAACTGAGAGCCACAAAGGGCCAAGGCTAGGATAAGCTCCTCCATGTGCCCCAGGACATTTTGCAGTCATTCTCCTCAAGGACATCACCTCTAACTTAGGCTGGAATATTGAAGCCAAGACTTAGGGACCCTGGGCATTGTCGAGTGGCACTAGAGAATGGGCCTCCCCCATTTCTAATGTGAAACGCTCGCCACTGTCTCTTTCTAAGAGGATTTTTCCTTGGGTTCCAAAGGTGATGATGCACTGTCTGCTTTGACAGTGTTCCTTATCGGGATGTTTCCAGGATTCTAATGCGGCTCTGAGAGGAAGCCACTATTACTGCAGCCCTTACTGTGGCCTTGAGTGTGCCCTGGATCTGGAGAAGCCTCACTCACTGGAGAAGGTGGATCAGGGCAAATGGAGGGTGACACCAAACGCTTGTGACCTTTGGTTCCTCGGTGTGGAGGATCTGCTAATTTCCGGCTAAAGCCCCGGTTCATTACAGGAACAGACACTGTCCCTAATCCCCCTCGAAATATTCCCCGTGCTTCAAACACACATATCCCATTGTTTTCCAGTTCTGAAGCAGCTCTGGTAGCTCTCTTCCCTGAGTGTCTTGGACTGAGCTGCTGAGGTTGCCTTGATGACCTGAATGCATTCAAAACACTTCTCTCTCATGGTCATTTGACTTTGAGGAAGAGCTAGAAGTTGCCCAGTGTTAGAGCCGGGGAGTGAGGTGGCCGAGGACACAGCATCCTATTTTTACAAGCCTGCCTGCCTGCTGGGTGATGCTCAGGAGCAGCAGTCACTGAGTTTTAATCACACCTCATAAAGACACTCACAAAAGAGGACTGCAGAGCTGCTTTGGAACATGGCAAGAACGAGGGGACAAATGCGCTCAAAGTGAAGCAGGCAATTGGAGGGGATTCGGGGCAATGCATCTTTCATTGTAAGCAGCTTTTTAAAATGTAACCATCCCCTGTGTATTTCTGTCAACCCTTGTAGATGTGTGTAGATTTATAGATGGAGATGTATCTATGGATAGATGGATATCCCAGTTTGGTTTGCACATGTGCACACACACACGCAGATAACAAACTACACAAAAAAATTTTCACAGGTTTTTTTCCCTGATTAGGAGATCATAATTTTTAACCTTCTTTATACTTTTAAATCAGGAAAAAGAAAACTCTTTATAACAAAACTCAAATTGTTAGTTTTCCAAAGTACAATACTTGCAGGCAAAGCCTCAGTTTTCTCCTGCCCATTCCCTCATCCCCCATCCTGCATGGGTCCTCGGGGAAGAAGCATCTTCAGCAGACTTGGTCCAGCAAAGGGCAAGCCTTGAGCACAAACTAGAGAAGGTGTTTTCCCAGGGCAGGAGGACTGGGCAGCAGGCACACCCCAGCCCTGGTCAGGCCCTGCCCTTTCTCGGGGCTGGCCTAGGGCACTTATGCCACTTTCCTCGGGCTGGTGTGGACTAATCACTAATCCTACCTGGGCCTTCGGGAGAGTAAGCGAGCAGGCAGTACCCATGCGTAAGCACAGCGTGGTGTGAGCACTGGCTGGTATCTCCCCACAGAGCTCACTGCCTGGATTCTAAGTCTGACCGAAAAGAGCCAAGGCTGCCCTGGTCCAAACCTTCCTTAGAACA